TGTGTTCTGTTTGTGTGTGTGTTCTATTATGCGTCTGTGGGATGTGCGGTGTTTTGTGCATGCATGCACAAGGAGTTGGTCATTACCTCTTTGACATTTCATCGAATAGGTTATGGGCGTTGTGCGATGCGTATGTTGTGTGTGTCGAATGAGCAGCCGATACAGAGAAGCATAGATATAGAGATAAGAGAGAAAGAGGCAACGAGAGAGACACATATGTGTACCTGGCAACGACAAACTATGGAAAGACAGTCATAGAGACAGTTTATCAAACACATGTAATGTTATAAATTATATCAAACTAAAACAATTGAATACAAAGATTTAACCCCTTCACTCGATTGCTTTTTGGTCAAAATTCAACTATGAAAAAAAAAATCGAAAACAAACTAAATTGAAAAACCAATGCATAAATAAATAGAATGAGGCCCAAAATAATGGGCATATATCAGACTTGATAAAATAAAGAAAATGCTTAAAAGCTTGAATGGAAGAAACTCATCTCAGTCTACCTAAAATTAATAGATCACATAAATTGTTTGAGGCAAAGACAACAAAGACTACCAAGCATGAATAAAACAATAATAAATAACAAAGAGTTCAGAAGTGGAGTATAGCAAATGATGAAATACAACAAAAAACCAAAGCATATTGAAATTCAAAGTGCAATAGCAGAAGTAAACACAAATATGACCTTAGGGATTCCAAGAAGCAGAAGTGAACACAGTAGGATTTGAGTGCATGTGTGAGTGTTTTTGTTTTCTATATGTGTTTTCTGCGGAGAGAGAGAGAGAGAGAGAAAGAAAAGAAGAGGTGTGATTAAGAGAGGAGACTGAGGGAGGGAGAGAGAGAGACATGTATGAGTGAGAGAGAGGGGTACACGAGCAATAGGAGTCTAGAGTTATATATGAAATGAAAGACTTACTCAAATTTTTGAATAGGGAAAAAAATTTCAAACATCAATTAGGATTACACAAACAAAATTTAAAAAAGAAACGTTGTTGGGTGGGAAAACAAAATTCAGTACTCACGATAGATCTTCGAATAAGTATTTATGAGATAATTTGAACCATTTTTTATGTTGTATGTTGGATATATTTATGTTTTGTATCAAAATGATTTGGACCTCTCTTTATCTCTAAAATTTAAATTCAACTCTACTTTATTATATAGATGTAATAATCTTCTTATTTTGGTAAGAGTTGTAATTATTTATTTTTTTTATAATTTTTTCTTCATATAAGANTATTTGAGGCAAAGACAACAAAGACTACCAAGCATCAATAAAACAATAACAAATAACAAAGAGTTCAGATGAAGTGGAGTATAGCAAATGATGAAATACAACAAAAAACCAAAGCATATTGAAATTCAAAGTGCAATAGCAGAAGTAAACACAAATCTGACCTTAGGGATTCCAAGAAGCAGAAGTGAACACAGTAGGATTTGAGTGCATGTGTGAGTGTTTTTGTTTTCTATATGTGTTTTCTGCGGAGAGAGAGAGAGAAAGAAAAGAAGAGGTGTGATTAAGAGAGGAGACTGAGGGAGGGAGAGAGAGAGACATGTATGAGTGAGAGAGAGGGGTACACGAGCAATAGGAGTCTAGAGTTATATATGGAATGAAAGACTTACTCAAATTTTTGAATAGGGAAAAAAATTTCAAACATCAATTAGGATTACACAAACAAAATTTAAAAAAGAAACGTTGTTGGGTGGGAAAACAAAATTCAGTACTCACGATAGATCTTCGAATAAGTATTTATGAGATAATTTGAACCATTTTTTATGTTGTATGTTGGATATATTTATGTTTTGTATCAAAATGATTTGGACCTCTCTTTATCTCTAAAATTTAAATTCAACTCTACTTTATTATATAGATGTAATAATCTTCTTATTTTGGTAAGAGTTGTAATTATTTATTTTTTTTATAATTTTTTCTTCATATAAGACATATATATCAAATTTTAATCCTTTTTTATTTAACGAGCTTTGGTAAGTCCATTCTTTAGGTTTTAATGATATGTTTTTCTTTCTATATTCTTGATTATGGGAACATTTTCCCACAAATCTCGTGGATTAATGGAGAATCCTAGATGACAACACTGTTTAAAAAGATGCAACTTATCTTGACTAGTTTTCCTCTTTCTATTAGTTGTTTATCATGACAGTACTATTTAAAAAAATATTCAAACAGCTAATAAAAAGCAATTAAAAGAAGTTACAAGTGCTTTATTTTGATTTGACAGGAAAACCTAATCCATCCAAAAGACCAAGTCACCATTTCTTAATGGGTGACTCCTGTTACTGAAATCATAGCCGTCAAAGCTAACATCAGATTCCTTTCTAACAAACTAAAATCTGCTACTCATGGGAGTCCGTTTATAAACGTCTCTCTCTCTCTCTCTCTCTCTCTCTCTCCCTCTCTCTCTCTCTCTCTCTCTCTCTCTCTCCGTATTGTCCGGAGCAAGACTATGGAGGTGGGTTTCATTTTTTTTTTTTTTGTGTGATGGATTAGATGTCTGTATAATTGTAATGCTTTGGACAAAATATGATTTTAGATTTTTCTTGCTTAAGGTTTGATTTTGTAGCATGAATTTGACCTATGTGTGCATCCACATAGACATACGTTAGTTGATTTGGTTCAGGATTGGCTAACTTGTAGGTGATGGAAATTACGATCAGTTCATAGAAGCCATTTGATCACCTAAATGGTAGAGACTAGTTGTTCTTCTCTCTCCCACCCATGGCTATACAAATATGGGAGTGTATCGCAGTTCGTGATCACCATTATTTTATTGAAGAATTTTAAGACATTCTCTTTCTATCCGTAAAGACTCTCTTCTTCAAGTTCTCTCTAGAGAACCATCAAAGGCCCCTGTGATTTAGAACGTGTATTTTTAGTAGAAGACTTTAGTAGTAATTCTACTTGGCGAGGAAGGTTATTCAATGCGGTTGAAGATTTCTGGTGTGTTGGTGACATCCAGAAGTGGACCACATGTGTGGTTCATGGGGAACTCTCGAGCAAACCAATCGATCCCAAAGCTTCGAGTTTAATTCTACCAAGTATTCTGCACACCTCCTTATGTTTACCAACAGTGGTATCGGTGTGTGACTCTATAAGTCACATACCGCCCTATGGAAAATAGGGAATTTTTTAGGAATATGTAGTAGTCCATTGTCTTGCTTTACGAGCTCCCCATGGATTGCACACCTAGTTCACATCTGAATGTCATCAACACACCAAAAATCTTTAATTGTCTTTGCGAGTAACCTTAATCCTTGAGAAGAATGGATATTATTGTTTTGTTTTTTTTTTTTACTAAAATTACAGGTTCCACATTTCATGGGTCTTTGATGGGGCCCTAGAGACAACTTCAAGGGAGAGTAGTGGGAGAGAGTGAGAATTTGTTGAATTTTTTCAATAACAAATGTGTGNCCTATGTTTACCAACAGTGGTATCAGTGTGTGACCCTATAAGTCACATACCGCCCTATGGAAAATAGGGAATTTTTTAGGAATATGTAGTAGTCCATTGTCTTGCTTTACGAGCTCCCCATGGATTGCACACCTAGTTCACATCTGAATGTCATCAACACACCAAAAATCTTTAATTGTCTTTGCGAGTAACCTTAATCCTTGAGAAGAATGGATATTACTGTTTTGTTTTGTTTTTTTTTTTTACTAAAATTACAGGTTCCACATTTCATGGGTCTTTGATGGGGCCCTAGAGACAACTTCAAGGGAGAGTAGTGGGAGAGAGTGAGAATTTGTTGAATTTTTTCAATAACAAATGTGTGATGGTCGTTGCCTTTTGTTTTAATTTGTAGATTTCTAAAACTCAAATACATATATACACGTGATAGAGAGAGAGTGGAAAATTATAGGAGCCTATAAGTAATTTAGTTTATCTAATATTCAGTTATGTCTTATGATTAGTTGAAGAAGAAACGCTGAAGAAAGGTTACGCTCCAGAAGATATGCCATAGAATAAAAACGCTGAAGAAGGCCTTTTTGGAGAAAGTCTTGTACTTAGATGTGAGATTGAGGAACTTTGTACTTAAGAGTTAAAGTTAGTTTACAATTCGTGTTTGTCTTCTATGGTTTATCAAGTAATAATATTTTATTTCATTTCTATTATATTTTGTCACAAAATTGTCAAAGGAGAGGTTGTTAGGAAATTTATTATAATTAACTAATTTTGTGAGATCACATATAAATATTTTACCTGCAGGAGAAAAAAGAGGGGGGGGGGGGGGGGGGGGGGGGGGGGGGGGGCTAGTGAAAACTTGTTGCTGAAATTTGTGTGATTGCCAACAACTTCCACATGGGATTTTTTAAAAATAATACTTTTTGAATTCCAATTGGTGGTTAGTTGCATATGTGACATGATTGAAGGGAGAAATGCATTTACGACACCTATTTTCACTGAACTTTCAAAGTGCTTCTTGGGTCGGACAAACTAATCCCGATAGCATTGGGTTATGCGCAAGTGTCACCCATATCACAAAAGAATCCCCATCACAAAACATAGTTCTTATTTGTACACGTGACACTTTGCTAAGACCTTCCCATCCCAAGTTTCATATAAGAGAGCTATAAACATCTTCAGGAATACAATTTTGCTTGCCTCCCTCCCGTCTATACCTATTATTGAGATTTTTTGGTAATGTTGTTATTCTTGTCCATTCTCCTTTGTTTATTGTAAATGTTCATTATTGAAAGCACATAGTGGCTAAATATTTTTTTGCTATTTGCTATGAGCCACTTGTATCTTCAAAGCATGATCCTATGTTTGTTCTGCTTCAACATAAAAGTTGAATTTGAACCCCAGATGCTACCTGCCCTCCTGATGCCTTCACAACCATTCGAGGGCAACTCATCCTAACACATAGTTGTACTGACAACTTGTGCATATGGACTTTTTCTATAACTACTTTGCTGCATTCTGATTTTCTTGCTGTTGCTTATATGAATCTTGAAATATTCAAATAAGGACAATGATGCTATCATGTTTCCAGAGGTTCTTCTTCACTAGCAGAAATTTTGGGTTTACTTTTTGCATGACATGATAACCACTCTTTTTATATACATTACTAGCATTTTTTTTATGCGATCTAGGCTATTCTGTTTTGTCCTTCAATAGTTTGAGATTGTTATGTTTATGTGGCAGGACTTTAAAACTTTTTTGGATTACCATTTATTTTATTCTGACACCCGATTCTGTGGTTCTTGCAGCTGATCCAGCCTATGATGAGGATGATGTAGTGGTAACATGACCTCTCCTGCTAAATATTTGAGTAGAGTGAACGGTGATTTTTATGGAGCCATCTGACTTCAATTTTGTTCTATTGCAGTACACTGGTGAACATGATGGAAGCAGTGACGACGAAGGAATGCTTTGTGAGTTCAAAAATTCTACTCACTGTTGAAATGTCATATTAAGTTGCTCTTTGGAACCTTCTTTGATGGTTGCATCCTTTGATGCATTCACATAGAATATCCTTAGACTTCAAACTGTCTTAGCTGTAACCTTGGTGTTTTTTTAGTTCATTTTAAATATACGCAATGTCTACTTTCTGATGGATGGAATCTCTTAGGATATCACTACGGTAGAACCGAAAAAAAATAATTTGGTACCATACTGAAATTGATTTGTAGCCGTTGATTTTGATTTGATTGGTTTGCGGCTTTTGATCATAAAAATGATAAAATGATATGAATTATTAATCTGAGTAAACAAAGTGTGTCACATTTTTATTGGACAAAAAGTGAAGATATGTTACCGAAAAATTGATATAAATCACTTTTTGGTACTATAGTTGGACCCTTCTGTAATATTCAAGAATTGAACAAGATGGAATGCTTACTAATGAACTATATGGGGTTAATTGAGATGTGTTAATCATGCGTTTGTTTACCATCTTTCTAACTGAATGTATGCTTCTTGATGGCAAATTACTTTGTTATTCAGAAATGTGAGTTACTGTATTGTTTAAACATTTTCTTGATGAAGTTCTGCTTTTGTTATTACCCGACAATGCAATAATTTTCGTGCAGAGATTTGCGTTTTAACATTGATTATTTCTCGTATACGTTGCAGATCTTCCAGACTTGGAGAAGGCAAGAGGAGCTATCAAAGACTGATTCTATACTATCAAGGAAGTTTAGTTAGTTTACTCCCAAGATTTAGTATAATGCATGATTATGACCCTTGCTGAGTTCTGTATATATCAGAATATCTCACTCGTTCTCTAGGGTAGGTAGAGCTTCGACTTCTGGATNATCACTGGGAGCCACCCTAGGCGAGACAACAACATCGACATCCTCTAAGGTAAATCAGAGTCATCTCAAGAGGAGAGTCCAACTAGGTCCAAAAGCTCACATGGATAGAACAAAAAAACAAAGGACCACCCCAAAGTTTGCACCGTTCAAAAATCCAGGTTGGTCTCCTGAATTTTCTGTTTTAGAATACCAAAAAGCTCCCCTTTGGGGACATAGCCACTAAGTATATTCATTCTTTTAGGATATTCTAATGAATGTTATCTATTATCACAAAGAATATGTACTAAATGCACACCAAGGCTTTTTAGCTTCAAGGCTATTCAGCCCGCCCTAGATCCTTAGAATATTCAGTCAAGGATAATGAGCACATTTTGACATGCATGACCTCCTCAGCATAATTAGGCTCTACAGCCTCAGTATGGCCAAGCTCTTCAGACTAGGTATGACCTGGCTCTTCAACCTTACTATCCGGCTCTGTAACCTTGATAAGACCAGGTTCTTCAACCTCAGTAAGACAAGACTCTTCAGCCTAGGTCAAACAAGGCTTTTCAATCTCAGGATTACTAGGCAGCATAGGTATGACATGAATCTTCAGCTTGAGCCTCAGATTCTTCAGCCTTTGCAACACCAGGCTGTTCAGCCTAGGTATGACTTAGAACTTCAACCTTTAGGTGATCTTTAAGCTTTTCAGCCTTATCAAGCTTCCCAGCCTCATATCCAATCAAGCTTGGCATTGACATCTCAAACTTATCAATCTAATGATAAGCCAAGACTCACTCAAAAGCACTAAGCTCAGGTTTGTCAATCTTTCCTCAGCGTTTCCAAGCTTTTCGGCCTCTTCAAGCCCAACATCCTTGAAACTATCAGCTCAGAGGGATATATTAGACTATTAGACTACTCAATCTAAGACATTTACGACACTCCAAGAGAACTTGATTGCAAATTCAAGAATGGTAAGTAAACTTAAGCATCCTTCTCAGGATGGGATAATAAGCTCAGAAACACCAAACTCTTCAGTCCAGACAAAGAATATAGGTTTTTCAACCTTAAGGCATTCATGGCAAGAATATAGGTTTTTCAACCTTAAGGCATTCATGGCAAAGTAAAACTTCTCTGCCTCAAAGCTAATAAGCTCATCCAATAGCTCGGTCAACCGCTCAATACTATTCATTAAGCTCAGCCAATAGCTCTGTGCAGCTTCGCCAACTCAGCCCACAACTCAGCCAAACAACTCCAAGCTTGACACAGCTCTTTAGCTACAATAAAACAGCAAGGATACAATGAAAAACAGAGAGGAATCTCTTTGGCTTTTTCCTTCGAAGTAAAAAAGACGAAGTGAGGACTATAGTAATGAGTAAACAAAATTCAAACACTTTTTTGTGGTTAAACATTACCCCAAGAGCACGATCTAGAAAGTTTAGCCTCCACCAAAAGACACTCTAGGTCAATCCTTGCTCAAGGCTGGGGGAAATTGATGGTGCCAAAAGTATAAAACTCAAACTAAAAGACAGGTCAATTATCTGACTCCAAAAGATGACAAATAGTTTAGAAACTACCAGAAGGAGTAAAGGAGAACTTTCACTAGTAAGCCCATCCTTGGGCAAGAAGATACTGCCTCCCAAAGGCCATGTCATCACTTCTAGAAGGACTCATCACGCCTTTGGATAAGAGTCTCTAATAACCAAATATTCTGCAAATATTATTTGACACTTCTGTGGTGAGAGCAATGATTACCTATGTATAAAAGGCTGACCAATATGTTGTCTCAAAAAATAGTGCAACTGAGCACCTCAATGTACTCATTTTTTTTCTCAAGAAATATACTGTCAAGGAGCAAGAGTTTTCATTACAATAAACTAACTCACCTTTTTAACTGGGCAAACCACTTAATACCTTGTGCATTCTTTACTTATTTTAACACATACACACCATGCACTTCACTTAGAGTTCATCCACCTCATATTTCTTAGTTTTCTAAACCATCGCCCTCTACTATTTCACCATTTGTTCAATGCATGTTGGGTGCATTTTTTCAGAGATTTTATCTTGTAATTATATAGTCTCTTTTTTAACAGTGGGATGGGAGATCTTGATTTTCTTAGATGATCTTCCATCCCCTAGCCCCCTTTTTTCCAATTGCTTCTTTGTACATGGGGTATACCATTGCTTAGAAATTCACATTTGGTTAATGAAATCAACTTATTGAAGAAAATTTTTTTTGAATAAAATACTGAAAAACATATAATAAAAAGTTTAATCAAGTAACAAATTATCTCCTTGTGTTTTAAATTTTACACATAACTCCCTATGATTTTCAATCAAATTGAAGTTGTTAGAAATCCATTAAAAGTAATGATCAAAGATAAAATTTAATATATTGATAAAATAACTTCTTAAAATTACTTTTCTACCCTTGTGCATATAATATTGCAATTTTTTCATCTCTCATAAATAAGTACTAGTTTTTGTCTGTGCCTGAAGACACATAGTAATAAAAAATAGTAAACAATAAACATATATGTATTCATATCCAAAATTAAATCACAAACATAGAGGAGAGATAAATGAATTTAAGCATCGATTGTAATGAGGGTGAGAGGTGGTGGGCGGCACTGATGGTGGTAAGAGACAGTGATGGTTATGGTGGGTGGCAATGATCGTGGTGGTGGTGGTGGTGGTGGTGATGGTGGTGGTGGCGGCCGCCGTAGTGGTGGCGACAACGGCAGCAGTGGTCGTGGTGGTGTGACTACGGTGGTGGTGGTGGTGGTGGTGGCAGTGGTGGCAGCGGTGGTGGTAGAGGTAGTGGTGGGGCGGTTTCAAACACTATTTTTTTAAAGTACTTATGAGAAATAATTTCTAGAAATACTTTTAAAAAGTCACTCCAAACACACCTTTAGGGCCCTATTTTTCTTATTAAGTTTAGGGTGTTAATATTAGCCGTTAGATTAACTTTCAAGTAAAATTAAAAAATAATTTCAGCCGCGAATAGCAAAATTTATTTTGTTTATCTTTTAAAATTTGAATTGTGAGCTACTTTATTATATAGACTAGTTATTGCTCGTACCTAAAGGCACGGAATAATAAAAAAATAGTCAACAATAAATATATTTATATTCACACATAAAATTAAATCACAAATAGAGAGGAGAAAAAAAAATTTAAGCACCGATGATAGAAAACCATGATAATTGTGGTGAGTGGCAACAACTGTGGTGGTGGTGGCAACCATGGGTCGCAACGATGGTGGTGGTGGTGGGTTTTGGATGACGATATTGGTTGTGGCAGTCATGGATGACGGTAGTTGTAGTGGTGGGTGTGGGTGGTGGTGGGGCGATGACGGTAATGGTAGTGGTGGTGGGTGATGACAATTGTGGTAATGGGTGATAACGGGTGTTTTTGAGCGATAGTGTGACAAGTAGTGGTGAATGACGATGATGCTGGTGATTGGTGTGCTGGGGGTGAGTGACAATGAGTGGCGGCAGTAATGAACAATGACAAGTGGTGGTGGTAGATGTGGTGGGTGTGGGTGACAGTGGCTGGTGACGATAGTGACTGACAACTGATGGTGGTGGGCAATAATGGTGATGGTGGGTGTTGACGGTAGGCAATGGTTGTAGTGGAATGATGGTGATAGTAGTAATAAATATGATAATAAGATGACGATGGTTATTGGTGGATGACGGTAGTAGCAATCAATCATGGGAGACGATGTTGGTGGTGGTTAAGGTGGTGGCAGCGTTGGTGGAGTGGCGTGGTGATGGTTGTGGGGGTGGTGGTGGTGGTGGTAGGGGTGATGATGGGACAATGACAGTGGCGGTGGTGGGGTAGCAACAATGGTGGTGGTGGGTGGCAACGGTAGTGGTGGTAAGGTGGCAACAACGGTGGTAGTGGTGATGGTAGGGTGGCAATAATGGTGGTGGTGGTGAGACAGTGAGTGTGGTAGTGGTGGTTGTGACAGATGTGACGAAGGTGGTAGTGGTGGGGGTAGTTGTGGTGGTGGTGGTAGTGATGGGGGTGGTGGGGCAGTGGGTGGGGTAGTAGTGGTGGTGGTAATAAAGCGGTTTCAAACACTTTTTTTTTTATATATAAATATGTAAGAAAAGTTATAAATTCTAAAAACACTTCTAAAAAATCACTTTAAACACACATTTAAAGCCCTATTTTTCTTATTAAATTTGGGGTGTTAATATTAGCCGTCAAATTAATTTTAAAGTAAAATTTAAAGAGATCTCAACCGCAAAAAACAAAACTCATTTTATTTATTTTTTGAGATTTGAATTATATTGTATTTTATTATATAGATTAAATATTATATGCATAAGATAAAAACTATGCATGATATAGGATAATGCCTATGTTTAATCTCTCATAAGTAAATCAATCTCCTTCTGTCCCTTATTTTATTTTAATACTAAATTATTAACTTTGTTCCTTGTTGCACTTTTGTTTAAAATACTGAAGATTATAGAGAGGTTTACAAAATATTAGGAAGTAAAATATTATAAAATCTCGTGGATTAATCGAGAATTCTAGATAGATAGGACACAACTTATCTTGACTAGTTTTTCTCTTTATATTAGTTGTTTATCTTGACCAACACTATTTAAAAAGACTATTTAAAAAGTTTAAGAAAAAAAAAAAAAGATGCAATTGAAAGAAGTTACATGCAGATGCTTTATTTTGATTAGACACAAAAACCTAATCCTTCCAAAAGATCAAGTCACCGTTTCCTAGTCGGTGACTCCTGTTACTTAAAGCATGGCCGCCAAACCTAACATCCATCTCTCTCTCTCTCAAGATAAAGTATGTATACTGATTTCTGTATTCATTCAAATCTTTTCCTATGACGATGGCACTAATCTTGATTCAAGTATTAGTTTCTAGAATGTAGTGTTTATCAAAGAGTTTATATTTTTCGTAATTGATTTTATCATGTTGATTAGACAATGGTTAGAATTCTTGATATTCTAAGATGGTTTTTCTTGCGTGCATGCGTACTGGTTTCATTCCCTCCCCCCCTTTTTTGCCATGCATTAGATGCCTATATTATGATCATACAAAGATTTAAATATGATGTTAGATTTTGCGTGTGTATGAGTTCAATGAGGTTTAATCAGGGGTGGATCTATGTGTGGGTCAGGGGAACATTGGCGCACCCTCAATTTTTTTTTAATTATATAAATATGTTATTTAATTATTTATTTTGTCCACCCTTAAATTGACTTTAATTTTTATACTTGTGAATTCTAATGTCGTTCAAAAAAAAACCCAAAAAATTGGATTATAGTGGTATTATTACCGTTATTTCTTTAGTTTTTATTTGATAGCTTTATAATTTTGATATAAAAATATAAAAAGACGTCAGAATCAATTATAAATAAATGTAATAAGTCTTTCATTTTGGTAAGAGTTATAGTTTTTCCTTCTTATAAGACATATGTATCAACTTTTAACCCTTTTTTATTTAATGAGATTTTATTTATTAGATATGATGTATCGTCTTAACTTTATCTTATATATCTCTATGTATGTGTGAATCGAGTGCAATTGAAGGTTGATTTCGATATGACTATTTGGTAAATAGTAGTATTGTTTGATAATGACCCTTTTCGTTTGTGTTTAAAAAAATTTTGACTCTAGACTTTTATAAGATATTTTTGTGGGCGGTTTAGATTTTAATGGAATTTAGAGTCGTGATCTATACTATTTTATTAACATATATAAAATATACGATCATCTTTATGAAAATTTAAAGCTATTAATCTGTTTATACTACAGTCGATCCTAGTTAAAGTGTTCATTCTCAAACCAATTTATTGCTCTGCCCTGGTTTAATTATATATCATGGATATAACCCATGTGTGCGTCTATATGGGCATGGGTTACTTGAATTGGATTAGAATTCCTTGATTTGACTAAATTACTGAAATCAAAATTAGACAATGATTGGTTCATAGAAGTCATGAGAGGACTTTATCACTCTAAGTGAGAGAGATTGGTAGGTCTTATCTTTTTCATGTCTATATAAACATATGGGTGATCATTATTATGATTAAAGAACTTTAGCAAATTCTCTCTCACAAAACTCTCTTTTCAATTCTATCTATAATATCCTTGAAAAACTATTCTCTCTGAAAATATTGGAAAACTTACAATACATAGTTTAATCAA